TCGCTACACCAACACTCCTCATTACAGCCCACTCGCTACACCAACACACCGCATTACAGACCATTCGCTACGCCAACACTCCCCATTACAGGCCACTCACGATGTCACCACTCCCCATTATAGCCCACTCACTACACCAACACTCCTCATTACAGCTCACTCACTATGCCAGCACTCCCCATTACAGCCCACTCGGTACGCCAACACTCCCCATTCCAGGCCACTCGCTACGCCAGCACTCCCCATTACAGCCCACTCGCTACACCAACACTCCCCATTACAGCCCACTCACTATGCCAACACTCCCCATTACAGCCCACTCGGAACGCCAGCACTCCCCATTACAGGCCACTCGGAACGCCAGCACTCCCCATTACAGCCCACTCAATATTCCAACACTCCCCATTACAGGCCACGCAATGTTCCAACACTCCCCATTACAGCCCACTCACTATGCCAGCACTCCCCATTGCAGCCCACTCACTACGCCAACACTCCCCATTACAGCCCACTCAGAACGCCAGCACTCCCCATTACAGCCCACTCAGAACGCCAGCACTCCCCATTACAGCCCACTCAATGTTCCAACACTCCCCATTACAGGCCACTCAATATTTCAACACTCCCCATTACAGCTCACTATGCCAGCACTCCCCATTGCAACCCACTCACTACGCCAACACTCCCCATTGCAGCCCACTCGCTACGCCAACACTCCCCATTGCAGCCCACTCGCTACGCCAGCACTCCTCATTACAGCCCACTCACTACGCCAACACTCCCCATTACAGCCCACTCGATACGCCAACACTCCCCATTACAGCCCACTCAATATTCCAACACTCACTATTATTGCCCACTCAATACTCCAACAATCCCCAGGCAGCCATCAATGGGACAGTCACCTACCTCCAACAGCAATAGAACAGCAAAGAGTTGCAGGATTGGGTTTATCTTTCTCTTCGTCTGAATTTCATTCCACTCGTTGGCGATGAAGTAAGTTCTCCAGATACTGACTGAGGAGGGAGTGGTATTGTTTGCTGCAGAAAGGAATAATGTTAGGCAGCCAGGCCAATGCACTCAGTCAGCAATAAATAAACAACACAACAACAACAAAAACAAAGGTGCTGCAAAAGCTCAGCAGGTCTGGCAGTATCTGTGAAGGAAAAAACAGAGTTAATGTTTCGGGTCCGGTGACCCTTCCTCAGAACTCAGCAATAAATAAAGTTATTTCTGTTCCAGCCAAGAAGGAATCCATTGTTGGGGCAGATTTGAATCGTAGAATGGAACCACTGAATGTATATGGCATGTAATGAGGATATTTAGCCCGTCCAATCTGTGCTGGCTCTCTGTAAGAGCTTCATCCCCTTTCCCTGTAGCTCTGAGAATCTTCGCCCTTGCGGTGATTGTTAAATTCCCTTTGAAAGCCAGGAATGTGTCTGCCTCCACCACATCCTATCCACTCACTGCGAGAACACGTTATCACTCAGGTTATTGCTGGTTATTAAACTATTCCTCAGGTCATTGCTGTTTCTTGCATCATTTACATTAAATCTGTGTCCTTTGATTCTTGAACTTTTAACCAATGGGAACAGGTCCTCCTATCTCCACGGTGTGGCAGGGCCTAGGACAGGGGTCACATCTCTAGGGTCCGGGAGTCCAGGAACCTCTGAGTTTGGGGCAAAGGGGGAGGGGGTTCTGTGCTTGGGTCAGAGCTCTGGGTTATAAAGATTGGGTCAGCGTTCAGGGTAACGGAGTTCAGGTCAGAGTTCAGAGTTACGGAGTTCGGGTCAGAGTTCAGGGCTGCGGAATTCGGGTCCGAGTTCAGGGTGGCGGAGTTCGAGTCAGTGTTCAGGGTTACGGAGTTCGGGTCAGAGTTCAGGGTGGCGGAGTTCAGGTCAGAGTTCAGGGTTACAGAGTTCAGGTTTACAGAATTTGGGTCAGAGGGCTGGGGCCCTGGCCGTAAGTATCACCTGAGGCCCCACGTTCAGCCCTTGCTGCTGCTGCCTCGATCTGTTATGGTTTTGAAGATCTCTATTGGACCCCTTCTCTTCTGCCAGCTTCTCCAATCTATTCACTTCCAATGCAAACCAACCCTTTGAACTCCAATCAGTGAAGCGAAGACATTATGCAGTGTTGCATCTGACTGGCTTTGGGTCACAGGGGATTAGACACAATGCTGGTTTTAGATACGAACCTATCTTACCTCCCGCTCACTGTAACGGTGAGTCAGCGCCCAGCTCCCGCTCGCTGTAACGGTGAGTCAGCGCCCAGCTCCCGCTCGCTGTTACGGTGAGTCAGCGCCCAGCTCCCGC